CTAACAAAATGCACTCCGGTAAGTGACTTGCCCCAGTGGCCTTACTAACTGAACAGAATGCAGAGAGCCTGGGTGCGGTGATACTTCGTTCTTTGTTCTTTTCATCCCTAATTTGTGGCGTCTCTAGTTCTGGGCCAATCAAGATACTAAATAGTCATAGTGGGGATTATTTCGTCTGCCCCCCTCTTTTCCTCCTCAGGAATTTTTTTATAATGTATATGTATTCAGAATTAAGTGTTTTAACACAATATTAAATTATATTCCATTTCGAGCCTCTGGCCTTTGTATGTCTTAGCTTTTCTAACATTGACGGTACATTTCCTCTTATTTTCTCACTTATGATTCTTTCTCTAGCTTAATTTGTATAATTACAGCATTATATGTCATGTCTTTCTTCAGTTGCTATTATTTATTTTGCATTCCCTTAATTTTGATCGATGGCACAGGAGTTTATTTTCTCCGTAAGGTAAGCTCTTTCTTGTGTGTGAATATAGCAAAGCATTTCTTCCCAGCCTTATCTAAACTGTTTGATTAGTTGCTAATGTGCAAAATCATTAATGGGGAATTCAAACTGCTAAAATAAAGAGCTGATGAATTCCAGTCCATAGGCCACAGTTCAGTCTTTTCAGCTGAGTGCTTTTCCAGGGAAGCAAAGAAAAATCATCAGTGCTCCAGGCACTGTGTGAAATGTGCAGGGTATTATTATATCCTGTAAAAAGTTAAATGTGGTTGAAATAAAGACCTCTCTGCAGCCAATAATGCATGGTAGCTGCTTTAGAACACTAAATAAGCAGTTTGCTATAGCAACGGTGTATCCAGCTCTATAATCTGACATCCATTTGTGAACTATTCAAGGGTTACCTTTCTTTGAATTACAAGAGTTTATAAACTACTTTATTTGGCAGGTTTAATGTGTGTGTGTGTGTGTGTGTGTGTGTGTGTGTGTGTGTGTGATTTTCTCATTTAAGAAAAGACTTCAATTCCTTTTATAATTTGCCTTGTATAACTACCAGGGGCCAGCTGTTAGTTCCATGAAGCTCCAACCATCCCAAGTGAAAGGATTAGGGCCAGTCAGCCAGTCAGTTGAGTAATTGAATGTCCCCTAATGCTGCCAGTTTAAACATATAGACATCTGTTAAAGGATATCACGAAGATTTTAAGTGGAGTGGTCAGGCCTATTGTTTTGTGGTTAATTCCTTTAAAGCTATATTATTTCTAAAAGTTCTAGGTTTTTCTTATTTATTTGGTTTATAGTACTGAAGTAAATTATTATGTTTAAATGATGTTAATGTAAGTAGGGTGTTTTAATTTTGAATTTTGTTTTGTTATGTTTTTCTTGCTTTGTGTTGTTTTTTTCCTTCGTTTTGAGTGGTGGTAGTTAAATGAACAGATTCCCTATCCAGTAATTTATTTCAGTAAATTTAAGGATTACCTAATCACTGAGATCCTTAATGGATACAGTGGAAGTATAGTAATAATATGAATAATAATCATATAGCTATGGCAAAATGGCTAGTCTTAAGCAACACATAAAATACCCTTTATACACACAGATGACATGAGTGTAATTTGTTGTAGCAAATGAAACCGAAAAAAACCCCAAATTATTAGCTGTTACGTTGTAATAGGGTACTGGGAAAAATGTCTTGTAAGTTGAGAGACCTGATATTTTTTATGGATCCAGCTTTTGGTTATAAAAATCTGATTTATTTACTCTGTCTTATTCAGTTTTATTACTTTTTTTCAAATTCCTTCATTTGCTATTTCACAATTTTCTACTATAACACCAAAAAGTGAGTAAGGAAATAAAAGTAGATGATCCTCAAATTAATCAATTTTACTTCTTACTACCACCATTGGAAATGTGAAATTTCTAGATTTTGAATATAAATACACAAAAATTGTGTTTGTGACAGTAAAACATCAATTACTCCATACATTTGTTTCTACATTTAGGGTGGTACAGAACAATACCATTGATAAAAAATGTCTTTTACTTACCTACTCGTCAGCTACAACGTTTTCATTTTCCCTGACTGACGCAAGGACTGTCTGTGTTATCTGTATTTCTTCCTTAACACAGCTTGTTTTCTTGGAAGCCAAGCCCAACATTTCACGTCTGTGACTCTAAGTTTATATGGCTGCCAGTGAGTAACTTAAGCTACAGTTTACATTTTGAAAGATTTGAGTGTCTGGAGAAATAAGCTGCAGCTATAAGAAATGCTTTAAGTCACAGAAGTTCACTGTATGCTACTTGCGAAAAAAAAATCTCCCTTCTACTTTTTATCAGTCAATAAATTATTTTATTTCCTCAAATAGTATGATCAGAAATTTAGGACTGATGGTGAATCTTTATGTTAATGACAACATGGATCAAAGGGGTGGTTATCTTCAGAATTACTGCAACCCATTCTTGGGAAAACCAGGAGCAAGTAAATCTATCAGGCTTTCTGAATGGTTTGTCACTCTGCAGAACAGAGGAATGTGGAATTGGGTGTGCTGAGGTCTGATATGCTCCAGTTTTATGAGGATATACTACAGGCAATTGGATTGCCACTATTATTGGCTGTCAATGGTCAGAACACTGTCAACATACAAAGTAGATAGCACTTGGTAAGAGTTATAAGAACTTGGTAACTTTCCATATTCTATAGGTGGGAGTGGGATGGAAAAGTAATGTGCTAATATATTCCATACCCAAGCAAATAAACTGTAAGAATAAATGAAAATTTTAGGAAATAAAAAAGGGAAAGGGAAATCTAAATTTCATCAGTAGATTCTATCGAAGTCAATATCTTGGTGATTTTATGTATAGTTTTACAAAATGAAAAAAATAGGGAAAATGTACACAGAATTTTTATTATTTCTTACAACTGCATGTGAATCTACAAGTATCTCAGTTAAAATTTCCATTTAAGAAAGGAAGAAGAAAGGTCATAACTCCTAATAGTCAGGGGAAGCATAATTTTCACATAATTGAGATTGCCATTGTGCCTTTACAAAGCACTGAAATGTTTCTGAATAATGAGAAATGTAAGACTTAAAACTTAAAAGAGATAATAAATGAAGAAACTGTATCTTATTATGCATGAATGTGAAACTTACAGTATACTGAGTCTTGGATGTGCTGAACTTAAGTTATTCAATATTGTAGTCAAGTTGGAAAAAAGATTAAAATATCATTGATGGTTGAATCCAGTACCTTTGTTTTCTAGAGGAATAGTTATATTTTTAGTAAAGAAGTTCACATTGAAAATAGAGTTTCAGATGTAGGATAAGCTCTTTGGTGTTTCATAGTATCAAGAAAGAGTGACTTCATGTTTGCCCTTTACCAGTCTCCCACAATTTAATAATACCATGAATATTCTTACATTGGTTTCTATCTAATAAAATTTCACATTTCAGTTTAATAATGATTCCATGAATATCTTATAAAATATGTTTTGTTAGCTACTTCCATTTCATAAATTTGTGTAGTTTTTTCCTAGATACCACTGTGTGGTTTTAACTGCACATACAGCATATGTAAACAATATTACTTAAGTTTTAGATTGACAAAGCTGAATCAATATTTTGTGTCAATTGAGTGCATCATTAATAAGAATGACTTCAGGGACTTATTGTTATCTTTCAGGAAAAATATACACAAAAGACTATAACAGTCAAGAAGCTCAGATAATATATCTAATATATATTTTTAATGGCAAAAGAATATTTAAAAATTTTTGTTCCCCTATCGGGACTCTACATAAGTTTCATAAAAATGTCAAGCAACTAATCAATGAATGCATGACAGATTTGAGCAGTCTATTACCTTCCCAAATTGCAACTATATCTCAACAAATATTTAATGTTATTCAGGTTCTTCTTTTGCTTATTCAATTAAACTACAAAAGTATTAATAATTTTTTCGCAACCTTACCTGATGCTACAAAAGGAAATTCTACTTTACAGAAATATTCATAGATCATCCATTGACTTCATATGTATACATATGTATGTTTTATATATATACACACACATGACTCAACTATGTGCTGATCCAATCCCTTTTGAAAATATAAGTTGGTTTCTTAGTGCTTCATACATTTACCTCCGTATGACATAAGTTTACATTAGAAGAGTTTATCTTTGTTGTTTATCCATGTTGACATATAATTATAGGAAATGGAATAAGTACAATGTCTGTGATAATTGTCAATGTAAGGGAAAATATTACTAACAATTTAAACAGAAATATAAATTTAAAAACTATAGAGAAAGAACATATATGTCCATAATATTTTATAATAACATAGAAGGTACTGAGTTAAAAAGCAGAAATTATCATATTCATTTAAGTTTTTAAATTAATCATTCCATGGTTGTCCATTTTGTACTTATAGAAAAGCTATTATATAAAGTTTTATGTCTCTAAGCACATTGTTGTATTGAGAATAAATTCTGTTTTGTATTTTTGAACAACTCTGAATATTCTGTTATATATCTTCAGAATATATGTTCCTGTGTTATACCTATGGCAGTTACAATTACAACATATTTTTGATCACTACTCTTCTAGCTGTTATTATCATTACTGAGAAGGTTAAAATAAGTTATACTTTCTTTTATAATTTGAAAGAAAATATATATTTAATTACTGATAATATTTCGAAGAGCTTTTTTAAAATTTTAGTTACATTGAAAGTTCTTGGTCGGTGTTTCTTAAACCCTAATATGTGTAGGAACCCCCAAGAGGTCTTGTGAAAGTCCAGGTCCAGTGGGTCGAACACTGCATTTCCCAGCAATGCCAATGCTGCTAGTCCACTGACCACTCTTAGGAACACACTTCTGGCTAATGGTATATATTGTAATCCAAATGACGGAAACATGGAGGACAAAGAGTGAAAAAATATATCTGAGCTCTTCTTTTGATTCTGTATTTAGAATCTCAAATGCATTTCTCAAGTTCATTGGAGTTTTTGATTGGTTTATTTTCCATTCTAATGCATTTTGTTTAGCTCTTTTGACAGCAAGTTTGTTTACCAGCAAAGAGGGATTGGACCAATTGAAGAAGACACTATCCTTGTCATAGATCCAAATACTGCTGCAGTAATCCAGTCCAGTGGGAAAAACCTGTGAGTCAAATGACTTACGTTGTTATTAAGGCTTGTACTACATACATTGGATATAAAGTGTATCCTGGGCTCTTGAAAGGGTGCCTGTATAGCTGCACTTAAGAAACCAGGAGATTGATTGGGCCACCCTATCTTTCATTTTTTAAATAGATGTTTCTAAATCTTGACTGAATATTAGAATCACCTGGGAAGCTTCAAAAAATTAGATTTATATATCTAAGATTCATGTATCTGTTGGCCATTTGTATGTCTTCTTTTGAGAAATGTTTATTCAGGTCCTTGCCCATTTCAAAATTGCTAAAAGAGTAAATTTCAAATGTTCTCACCACAAAAAATAAGTATTTGATATGATGGATATGTTAATTAGTTTCATTTAATCATTCCACGTTGTATACAAATATCATAAATCACATTGTACTCCATAAATATATACAATTATAATTTGTCAATTTACAATTTTAAAAATTAGGTTCAGATGTAGTTTGGGATGGGTCTAATACACTCAAAGCTTCCTAGGTGATTCCAATATGTAGTCAAGCTTGAAAGAGCCCTTGATATACATAGTTAATGAAGTGAGTTGCTGGTCAGGCAGATCTGATGATTAAAAAAAAAATTCTTCAGCATAACCAAACTCATCAAGTAATCACCATTTAGAAAAAAGGCTTCTGTCCCCATCTTAAATTGAAGACTAAACAAATGACATTTTTAGCATTTCTTAGCATGCATGTGTAATTTGGCTTTGAAAGCTGCTCATTTGGTCTTATTTCTAGATGGAATTTGGCAGCCAAAAAAAGTTGGCTGATATTCATGGTTATTGAAAGAAAGGGGCACCTGCAAATAGATCTCCTCGACCATTGCAACCTGGCAGCTTCAGGAACTGTACCCTACTCCATCTGCTTAGGCACCAGGAAGGCCAGCTTCCATAGCAGTCAGGGGGCCACCCTTTTGAATACAGCTGCTTGTGGAGATGGTAATAATGAGGCTTAGAATTTTTTTTTTTATAGCATTTTCAGATGGTGCATCAGGAGCCAAATTCTACTACCAGTTCCACCACTCTGTTTGAACCTGTCTCATTGGTGCTGTATGCATTAATCAGAAGCATCCTCGTTCCAGAAAGGAATAAAGGGGGAAAGGCAGAGCAACTGCTGCTAAATCAACTTGGCCATCAGTGGGGTGTTTGTTTGAAAGCAAATCATAACCCTCACACTCAATCGCCAAAACAGAGATCTAGTTCAGTTCATTAGTCAAGATCAGAGTGTTACAGTCTTGGCTCTTGAAAAAAAAATCTGTGGTGACAACACCGTCCTAAGGCTAGAAGCTGACAGATAGAGACTGTGGATTTTCAGATGTTGGACCAAAACCACCTTAATGTATTGTCCGTGTATTTAACTCTGTCCAACTTCCTTACCCAGATCATCCAGATTGATTTGCTGCATAGATTAACCTTCTCTAATTATTGTCCAGCTCACCACTTCACTTTCCTTAGGGGTTCACAGCCCATATTTGTAGACAATTGTTTTCTTTGGGTTATTGTCTTTAGTAGTCACTCTTTAAGGCTTTTGAGTAATATATTTAATAGTTTATATTAACACAATATTACATTTCCTTGCAGTATTTTTTAACTATTCAAACTATATAAATCATTTCTATTTCTCTAGACAATTTGTTTTATACATATTTCTAAGATTTTAATATTTATGATCATAGAACCTGTTTTTAAATTGATGTTATTTATATTGTTCACTTTAATATACATACTTTATAATAAATATTTGTAACTTATATTTAGATTTAAATATTGCTTAAGATTTGTAACAAGGAGGTCTCTATTATAACAGGTATTTTTATTTTTATTAACTATTAATTTTTATCTTTTCTATAATAATACAAGTATACATTTATCAATTTATAAATTTGTATTGCATTTACAGATTAATTAGAAAAAAATTCCTCTCATGTATGCTTTGGGAATAAATGTTTAATTTACACAATTATTTTTATTTTGCAGGTTTTACTTGCCACATGGTTTGAGTGTAGATAAAGATGGAAATTATTGGGTCACAGATGTGGCTCTCCATCAGGTAATCTTCCATTTAGCAGTATTCAAATAGAGGCTGACAGAGTTATCCTTTCAAAGTACTCTGGAGTTGTATAGGTTTTATTTTTTTTTTTCCTGTGACCCTACTGTAATGTTGTAAAAAGAAAATGGAACAGCCATGTCTTAGTCTGTTCTGGCTGTTGTAACAAAGTGCCATAGATTGGGTGGCTTATAAACAACAGAAGTTTATTTCTAATAGTTCTGGAGTCTTGAAAGTTCAAGATCAGGGTGCCAGCATGCTCGAGTTCTGGCGAGGGCCCTCTTTTGGGTTGTGGACTGCCTGCTTCTCCTTGTATCCTCACATGGTGGAAAGAGAGAGTGAGAGCAAGCTTTTGTGTCTCTTCTTAGTCACTGATCCCATTCATGAGGATCACAAGTCTTAAAGGCCCCACTTCCTAATACCATCACATTTGGTGGTTGGGATTTCAACATGTGAATTCGGAGGGGAGACACAAACATTCAGTCCGTAACAATCCACATCAGAAATTTTCCTTTTAGAACTAATGCTAGGATGGAGCTAACATGTAAATCATCAAGTCACTCTTCTCCCTCGGGCTGGCAGGAAGCTTAGGGCCAGATGTGAAGCTTACCTATAACAACTACATGGGCCCTCCCAACCTCTTTTTTAGTGTTCTGTATTTGCTTTTAATACCTCTGTCCCTAGGTCTTTTTTCTGTTTTATCACTTGTATTTTATGTTTTCTTTTCTAAGCTACCTTAATGTTCTATAAATTCTAGGTCTCTAATAAATACATATATATGTATAAAAAATCAAATTTTTGTTCTTTTACAAAAAGAAGTTATATTTTAATCACAGAGTAGTCATAAGAGTTTCCCCCAAAGTATAAGCTTATCAAGTTTAATACCCTTTCTATGAATAAACTAGAACTCAGAAGACATAGTTATCAGTCAGTAAGTTCTCTCAACAATCTTTAAACATCATCTCAGTAAACTTTTATTGCTCATGTATTATCTGGGGATCATTGTAATATTAGCTGAGGAAAGACAAAAAGGAAGCATGGGGGTGGTGGAACAGGATATCCACGTACTAATCTCCATTCACTACTAATTAACTGGGCGACCTTGAGCAAATCACTTAATCTCCATAGGCCTCAATTACCAAATGAAGGAATCAGACCAGATGATTTCTAAGGTTCCATCCAGTTCTAAAAAGTATCTTATTTTAAGTAAGTCTCTAAGAGCTTCTACTTCAGTTGCTTGTGAAAATTGTCTTAGTCATGTGAGTATGTGTCAATAATAACTATGAAAAGTAGGTAAGGCTTTTGTTCCTTTTCAAAAAGGTGTTCAAACTGGATCCAAACAGTAAAGAAGGCCCTGCATTGACCCTGGGAAGGAGCATGCAACCAGGCAGTGACCAGAATCACTTCTGTCAACCCACCGATGTGGCTGTGGATCCAGGCACTGGAACCATCTATGTATCAGATGGCTACTGCAACAGTCGGATTATGCAGTTTTCACCACATGGAGAGTTCATCACACAGTGGGGAGAAGGTACCCAATTATAGTTGGTTTTTTTTTTTTTTTTTTTTGAGACGGAGTCTCACTCTGTCGCCTGGGCAGTGGCATCATCATAGCTCACAGCAACCTCAAACTCCTGGGCTCAAGGGATCCTCCTGTCTTAGCCTCCCCATTAGCTGGAACTACAAGCATGTGCCACCACGCCCAGCTAATTTTTCTGTTTTTTCGTAGAGACAGGGGTCTTGCTTTTGCTCAGACTGGTCTCAAACTCCTGACCTCAAGCGATCCTCCCACTGCAGCCTCCCAAAGTGCTGGGATTATAGGCATGAACCACTGCATCCAGCAAAAACTCTTGATCTCTAATTGTAATTCTTAGCCAATATCACTAGGAATGAGAGATTGGCCACCCCTCACATTTTTAGGATGTATTTGTCCCATACAGTGAAGAAAGCAAGGCCACTGTATGCATCTTCTTGGCTTAGTCTCTCTCTCTCTCTCATACACACACCTTATAAGGGAAAAAGACTGCTTCCACCAAAAAACTTTGTCCAAATAGGGAGAAAATCTGTAATGTGTTTGTGGCTAAGAAATGCTGTAGACTAAACTTATAAACTGCTTTGCCTGATCTTTCCCCTGGTTCCAGATATTTAATGCTATTTGCTATCATGAATTTGGAAAATTACAAAACTGTATAGTCAAACTTTGGGTGATTTTATAATTTGTATATCTGAGGCTTTTCTTTGTTCTGTAGAGTCTTCAGGGAGCAATCCTAAACCAGGCCAGTTCAGCGTTCCTCACAGCTTGGCCCTCGTGCCTCATTTGGACCAATTATGTGTGGCAGACAGGGAAAACGGTCGCATCCAGTGTTTTAAAACTGACACCAAAGAATTTGTGAGAGAGATTAAGCATTCATCATTTGGAAGAAATGTATTTGCAATTTCGTATATACCAGGTATTTCATCTTAATTTTTTTGGTGTCTTTTGTCATACTATATTCTATCCTTAAAAATTTTTTGTCTTATTGTTCATGTGTTCTTTCTATAAATTTTCTTATTGAGGAGTTGAAGATGCATTATATATCAAACCTTAAAGTATCTTAAAACTGTTAGTGCATTGTAAATCATTTTCAATTCCAGTGCCATTATTCCTTGTAATGAAGAACTCAAAGGATTTAACAGTTGTTTGTACTGGGTTAAAAAATGTTCTCAAACATAGATTTTCATTTTTTCTTAATTATGATCATCTGCTCTAGTTATTAAATGATTAATATTATGTCTTTGCACATCATCAACAGATGGTATGTATGATAAAATCAATATTCAAAATACTTCTGTTTCACTTTTTTAAAAAACTAGAGGGAAATTTTAAAAAATACGTAAAAAGAAGTGAAGCTTATGTTTAAATACCAGGAGAAATAACCAATAAAATCTTGATTTATTTTTTTTCTTATTTTCAAAATAGATTTTCTTGACTTGAAGAAAATCTGAAAAATAATCCAGACTTATAAAATAACATATACATAATTCATATTGTAAAATAACACAGCATATTTCTTTAAATAATGAATACTGAAAATATATTTAACTTCTAAAATTTATATACAAGTTTTATAATTTTTTTAAATTTTGTTTTTAATTGACAAATAATAATTGTGTGTATCTGTGGGGCACAATATGATATTTTAATATACGTTTACACTGTGGAATGACTAAATCAGACTAATTAGCAAATCCATCATCTCGTATACTTATTTTTTATTAAAATCTACTCTTTTAACAATTTTGAAATATAGTGCATTATTATTTATTATAGTCATCATCCTGACCATAATGGAATGAAACTAGAGATCAATAGCCAGAGTAGTTTTAGAAAATTCACAATTAAAGCATACAATATAGTTTATTAAAAATATCTACGGCTGTATTAAAGCATCATTGACTATTTATAGTCATCACTATAATATTTATGCTTCTAATGCTATCAAAGTTGCATATGGCCACTGTTTTCTCAAGCACCTAATTTATTTAGAATATAAAATAAAAGGACTCAGGTGACTGAATAGGGAACAAGTTTGGCTTCCTCAAGGAATAAGGAATGAGATTCTTATAAATATCAATGAAAGAAATTTTCAGGTTAATTTTACCACATATTTAAAGAAAAATTTGTCAAGATCCTTCATTTAATATAGAAGGTGATCAAGTTCATTGTAAACAAAAATAAATCAAATATAAGAAGAAAAAATATCAGGAGAGAAGATGAGAAGAAATCTGGTTAAAAACAGAATCTAAGCAAAAGACAATTCTTTCTATAATATTTCACAATAGTAATTGGTGTTTATGGTATTGATTTTTTTTCTTATAGTATGGTATTCTAAAAAAAACAATAATCCTTGAAGAATAATGAAAATATCTTCAGCAGTGGTTTAGTGTTGTGTATATTTTATTATGTTCTAATTCTTTAAAAACATAATATTTAATCATTTGAATTATTTATTTAACCAAAACATCATTATTTCCATTGTTTTGGATAAACAGCACTATACTAAGAGATATAATTTCACTACAAAGAGTATTCATGGAATTAAAATGTAAAAGATGGTTTAATTTTTTTCATTAGTGAAAAATGTCTTTGATAATCTGAAATACACATCTCATATTTTCAAACTCTAGTTGTTTAAAATCAGATTGTTCTGTTTATATTGTAACTTCACTTACTTTCATTGCATATGTCTTTCTGATTCTCCTGGTAGCTATGAGAAATGTTACATATTTTTAAAAGATCTGATACCCCAAATTACTAGCCTAAATAACCTGACTTTTCCCGATACCTATTTAGGATGCCTGTGATATCTATATGTCAATATCTATGTATTCCTCATTTCTATTTGCTTTCTAAGTGGAACAGACATTCAGTTCCTGATATTCCTATTACAAGGAGGTCAGTCCTCTAACCTGTTGGCCCCTGATTTGGTTACTCAGGGGTTAGACATGTGATATGTACTTTGTTTTCTACTTTTGTTGCCAATTGTAGGGAACAGGCTGATCTTAAATTTATTTTTTGTTTGCATGCATATATTTGAAGTTCAGTCTTATCTATACTTTTAAAAAAAGGTAAACTGGATATGTTGTCGCAGGCTTGCTCTTTGCGGTGAATGGGAAGCCTTACTTTGGGGACCGAGAACCTGTACAAGGATTTGTGATGAACTTTTCCAACGGGGAAATTATAGACATCTTCAAGCCAGTGCGCAAGGTATTTATATACATTGCCTAGGTTTTATTTTTCATGAGAATAAAACTAAAATGTGAGTCTTGGCATTCAATCTGTACTTGAATAATTTAAGAAAAAAAACTTTTAGATGTGCTTTCTTAGCTAGGTTGATGGGAATATTCTATTATGATGTTTTATTTAGAATAAATGTCTTTGTTCCTAGATCAATTTCTTCAGATCAAAATTAGCATTGTGTGCAGTTCGAAGGTTCTTAGTAGACCTCCCGGTCTTTAAATTCACTGTGGTTAAAATACCAAAAAATAGTAAGTCTCTTCCTGGTTTCTTACAAGTAGGGAAGACACCACAACATATGAAATGTACTTTTATAGTTCTCTTATACCCATCAGAAATCTTGTTTGCTTTTTTTATTGCTATGCCTGTACTAAGCAACAAACTTAAAAATAGCACATCCTGGAATTTGTTCAAGGTTTAAAGATTTGGTTTAGGAAGAGACTAAAGCCTGGCTTTGGCTTCACAGATGTTTTGCCACTGTTTACTCTAACATGATTTTACAAACACGGTGACTATGTTCAACGTGCCCAAAACCCTTCTGCCTTGTCAATGTATTCTCTCTGCAGTACGATTGCCAAACTGACCAGAATGTTCACATACACTGCATGATTGTGCTTGGGGCACATCAGTTTTAGAAAGTTCAGCCTGCTGAAATCCCAAAATAAGAGTAATTTTTGAAAACATGTAAAGATTTACTGGGTTTCCTTCGATCAGAATGCAACTATCGTAAGCCACTGGACCAAGTTATATCTCGATATTTGTAATTCTTATATTATTCATTAAGATACCAAGTTTGCTAAATTGAAAAAAATTCCCGATATTTTAGAAATTAGTCTGTTAGAATACTGACAGTCTGGTGTTTTATCAGATTTCATTCCAGAGACATGTATTAAACATCTGCTCTGCATCAGGCATTGTGCTAGATACAGAGGATGTAATGGAACAGAATAGGACACAGCCTCTCCTTCAGTGGAGCTTTTAACACTAGTTACCAGATCTGAATCAAATCAAAGTTACTCCGAACTAAACATTCCGGTATAAATTACTTTCTTTGGATTTCTATTTATATACAACAAAAAAGATTTTTCACAGAAATATTTCACCTAAAAAGCAATAAGCAATCCAATCTCTCATCATAGTAGCCCTTCAGAAAGAAATTCATTATATGGATAACATACATTTTACTTCCAGAGTGTTTCAGATCCTTATTGATTCTCCAGTCATCACTGAGCTCACTTCCTCATATCTCTTGATAAAGAAAGTTAGATATTTAACTTTCTTTGAGGTCTTCACTTTGTATTAATGGAGTGAGTGTTTGCCTCACTCATTCTTTTCATGATAATGTACTGTGTCAAGCAGGATATTAACTTTTAATTCAAAATGTATCTAGAAATCAAAACTAAGTGCTAAGCAAGAGGCTAGACTCTAAATGAGCCTCAATCTCATAAAAATGTGAAAAGCCCTGAATTAAAATTTGAGAGAGCATTGTGCCTAAACATCAGCATCTATCAGACATTCAGTGACGAATAAGTCATAACGTGGGTCAGTACAGGAAACTTGAAAAGAGAATCTCACTCCAAGATGAAGTTTGTTTTTCCTTTCAGTAAACAAGAGTTGCTATTACACCAAAACATAGAAGTATATTCTGTGTTGCCTCAGTAAACTGAATTCAGTTTATGGATCTTTAAGAATTTTCATTTAATTAGATGATCATCACAAAGATTAAGTTTGGGTGAAAGAAATAGTATGTTGTATTGACTCCCGTATGGGAAGAGATTCGTCTTTCAAGTCAAAAGTAAAGTTTCACATAATGTGTCTGTGCCGCTGTTTGTGCATATCCAATACTTATCTCCTGTTGTATTTCACTTCTCCTTCTTTTACTATTACATTCTTTAGAGATGTTTCCATCTGAATGTATGATCTATGTATTTATATCTGTGCAGGGAAACTGAGACAGTAGAATAAATAAAGAAGACGCTTCTATCAAATGCTGTCAAAAAGCTGTGAGGGCAAAATATACATATCACCCCCAAAACCTTCCCCCATAATCAAAGGAAAGACTTATGGTCCCTCATCATCTGCTTTCACACACATCCTTCAGACTGGCAGTTTTTGTCTTCTTTCTTCTGCAAGGCAGCTCATGTGGGAAAGGAAGGGAAAGTTCTATACCAGAAAAGCTTTAGGATTTCAGAGTTAAACAGATACCAAAAAAAAAGAAGAAGAAAAAAACCAGTAAGCCCAGATTCATGTTGTTTCTTCAGCCTTTATAATGAAGGTTAAAATTATAATATTTGGCTAGGTACGGTGGCTCACGCCTGTAATCCTAGCACTCTGGGAGTCCGAGGCAGGCGGATTGTTTGAGTTCAGGAGTTCGAAACCAGCCTGAGCAAGAGTGAGACCCAGTCTCAACTGAAAAAATAGAAAGAAATTAGCTGGACAACTAAAATATATATATAGAAAAAAATTAGCTGGACATGGTGGCACATGCCTGTAGTCCCAGCTACTCGGGAGGCTGAGGCAGAAGGATTGCTCGAGCCCAGGAGTTTGAGGTTGCTGTGAGCTAGGCTGATGCATGGCACTCTAGCCAGGGCAACAGAGTGAGACTCTGTCTCAGAAAAAAAAAAAAAAATTACAATATTTGATAATATTTGAGCTAAAAGTTTCACGTAAGTTAATTTGCTTGTTCAAAGCTACACACAGTAGCACACCTGGATCTCAAACCCAGGTTTTTTTTTGGGGGGGGTGTTAAATGATCCTTTATCAAAATATTTTCCTTTATACTTTTTAACTAGCTGGGCCTTCCACTGCACCACTGTTGATGTCATCTATGATGTCATGTGGGTGGCGGCCATCAACATTGCAGCCCACGGACTGGGCAGTTCCCAGGATCTCTTTAATGGTTCCAGAGAGTTCTCTGGCTAAAGATCAGTGCCGCATCTATGTGGCAATGTTGACAATCTCATCAAAAGTGATATTTCCGTTGTGCTTAATGTTCTTCTGTTTCTTTCTGTCTCTTGGTGGTTCCTTGAGGGCTTTGATGATCAGGGCAGAGGCAGAAGGTACCACTTCAATCTGGGCCTGTCTGTTCTGAATAGTTAGTTTCACTGTAATCCTCAAACCCTTCCAGTCACCAGTTGCCTTGGCGATGTCATCACCAACCTTTTTTGGAGACAGACCCAGGGGGCCGATCTTGGGGGCCAGGGCAGACGTGGCACCGACTTCGCCACCGGTGCACCTCAGGTACACGACTTTGATCTCGTTGGGGTCGAACTTAGGCGGCGTGGTGGAGGCAGCTGGTGTCGATGAACCCGGATTCGGGACGACCGAAGAAAGTTGCACCTTGGCCTCCTCCGAGCCGAAAACCAAAGGCTCAAACCCAGGTTTTTGTGACTCTAAAATGTGCTTAACCTTTCGGTCCCTGAGGTACACCTTGGTATGCCAAAAGCTATATTAAGCCACAACATAAACATGGTGCAACTTCTTAAAAGAACTGTTTTACTTAATATTACATAGATTTAAACTTACTATGTTAAAGCATTCATAGTTATAATATGGAGTATAACACAAATTTCCTAATGAATTTTTAAATAAAATACAAGATTTTGAGGGCAGGTTACCCTGGGCTTCATCACCAGATAGATGCCCCAGGAAGATGTTATCATTCTTTTCTCTTGTCAATTTTATTTTGCTAAGGGTACCTCAAGAGAAGAGTTTGCAAAACCTAGATCAGAAGATCTTTAAGTCTGTTTAACTCTGAAATCCTAAAGCTTGATCCTAAAGTTTAACAACATCATTTTCTGCTTAAATAACACAAAGCAATAGAATAGTTTATTGAAAAGGTTACAATTGAGCCTCTGACTGAACAGGAATAGAGGTCCCGCCCACTAAGCCTCCCCCTGAATTCCTCCAGTGGCCCCAAAGTACTGTATTTCCAACAGGCCTGTTGGCTCCATGGATCCATTTGAGAGCCACAGAATGAGGTTTATCATTATTGTAGCCTTGAATTTTTGGCATATGGTGATTGATTTAAAGGAAAGGCCAATGAATAATTTACACATTCCCTACTAACCTTTATAATATTTTTCCTGTCAGAAAATGTAAAGTACTTTGCAACCATACATTTTATTAATTTAACACAGTTTCTAAGACCATATTATGGCATAAAACAGGAATGGCCTATAATTTGCAAGTCTGTTCTTGCCATCCATTAGCTGAACCCAAAATGAAGATGAACATTTAATGACAGGCCTGTGAGATTTCAACAAGGCAACGTTTTGATTTCCAGCTCTCTACACATTTGTCACAGCACATTTGATAGTATGAAGAAATGAGCCTCCTTAGCATAGGCACCTCGTTTTTCTTTTGAGTGTCACAAACTTGATGATTTCTAAAGCATAATAGTATCTCCAAAGCATGTATTCTTCTGCCTCTCCTAAAGTGAGCTAAGAAGGGTAGTTTGCCTCATTAGTACCTTTGTACTCAGCACACGAGGGTGGGCAGATGTTGGCCGATAAGTCCACAGTCTGGATAATGCTCCTGTTCATACTCACTAGCCATATTTTTGATAACTGTGTATTCAAGAAGGCCTGCCAGACTCAAAGGTGAAAGGGATTATCCATGTCCTGCCAACTGGTAGACCGGGGGCACCTTCGGAGGTTTCAGTAGACAGATGTAAATGTCAGCAGTGCAATGTTTTAAGACTACTCTTCCAGGAACTAGCTCAGTGACCCCAAAAGAAAGTCACATAAAGTGCTCCCCTGTCCCTAGTGTCTTAATGACTCAGATGACAATGACTTGAAATGAAGAAAGACATTAAAATACAGAGCATCTGAAGTAGGTACAAAAGCCCAGGAAGTACTTGGAGGTAACACTCAATTTATTTCCTCTGTTGACTGAAAATATTGCAAATTGGACTCCAAGAATATAAAACCTATGGGGTATAATGTACAGTGTCCGGGTGATGAGTACACCAAAGTACAGGCTTCACCACTATGCAATATACACATGTAATGGAATTCAATTTGTACTCCTTAAATATATTAAAATTTAAAAGGGAAAGAAAAAAATAGCATAAAACCCCATATTGCTGCGTATCTCCTTGCATACATGTAAGAAATAATCTAAATGTTCTGAATCTTTGAAATGACTTCTCTTATCAGTAATATGCAAATAGTTTTTAAGGCAATACATGATAACTTGATGGGAATAACAAAAATTAATACTTGGTCCTTTTGACTCACACAAATTAAAATAAGAAAATCTAACAGTGATTAAAAGGTAGAAGAAACATGAAGGCAAAAATAAATATTTATATAAACAACTAGATAATGTAACATTAAGTAAACAGGACTATAAAAAATAATCTACCTGTAAATTTTCACTTTTTAAAAGACTTGAAAGTCAGTGGTGAGGGTTCCTTGACATTTCCCAATGCTTAGAATTATGCCCGGCACAGTCAGTACCCCATGAACGAATGAATGAATGAATGGCTCTCCTTGGCCTAGAGTTGCTTTGATAAGAATTATTATTGTTTTGGTTTGAGTGAAATGTTTATTGTTTTTTTGTGGGCTTTGCTCTGTTTTTCTGCCTTTTCATGAAGGATTCAAGTAAAAACTCATCACCCTAACGTGTGGCTTCTTATTTTGGCAGCACTTTGACATGCCTCATGATATCGTCGCATCTGAAGATGGGAGTGTATACATCGGAGATGCTCACACCAACACAGTGTGGAAGTTCACCGTGACTGAAAGTATGGTGTTTACAGTATCATTGTCCACATTTTCCTTCAGTTTTATCGCTTGTAAACATGTGAAACAAAAACATTTGCATTTCCTTCTTTTTACTGATGGGAATAGAAATCAAGGTATAAGGTAGTTGTTAAAAGATCTATTTAGTATCTATTTCAGGGATTAAGGTAATTTTTTTAAATTTGAGAGAAATATCCTTTTTTTTTTTTTTTTGCTGGCAGTTATCCCCTTGTTTCCATAGATATGCCTCAGGAAATTCTTGATGCCTGAAGTAATGTCTGTTACATTAAAAGCCAATGTTAATTCCAACGTAGCTCCAGAAGGAGGAGGTGGCTTTGGCACAGCAGCGGGGCTGACTTGTTTCCATGAGGCATCACTCCCCACACGGCTCTTTAGCTCTCAGTAGCTGCTGGGCATCTAGGGATGCCAGCCTCTGTGTGAGACTCGTATTATTCCAGACAGGAAGCCTTTTGAATTTTCCACGTAGGTTTCACCTTTCCCCAGTAACTGAATTGCTGTATTTTTATGTAACTCAAAATTTTGGCTGGGGACAGATTTGTCCTATCAGGATCCAGCCAACTAGTTTCACAGTTTTCTAATTGCAATTTGGACATTATTTTTAATTCTTAAAAGTAGGCTAATGTACCTCCTAACATCATGCTAAAAAAAAATAAGTTTTTTAAATTGAAGTGTACTGAATGCTGACTAGGTCACAAACCTAAATGTCCAGAGATACTTTTAAAATATGGCAGGATCCAAACAAAGGAGAAGGTGGGGTTAAGGAAAACAATAGAGGATGATAAATTTGAGGTATCAGGACCTACACAGGTAGTTTTAGATAGAGAACAAATAAGGATATGTAAACTTGATGAAGAAAAGAAGTATTATTTATAAAATGAAAAATGCAAATTATAATAAGGAAAGAAAATAAATTATAACAAAAGAAAGTAAAATTAGGAGTCCAAAAACATTATTCAGATACCATTCAGATCTTAGATCCCAATTAATTTGGTAACTGCTGTCTTCAGAATTATCCTCTGAGTAACTTTCGCTGTTTTATAATAAGGACCCAGTTAGAGCTGAGTGCACAGAGAGGCCTGTGAACTATTCTACTCCAGCAGTAGCTTCACATTCTCCCTTGCAAGTGTGGCTCTTTCATCACCTGCCTTCTCAAAGAGGAACCAGAAGGTGTGGGCAGACAGGAAAGCAAAGATATATGGATAATTCCCCACTGCATGACCAAACTCCGGATTTTCAGAACAACAACAAAAAAAATGCGTAAATACTTTTAAAGATGGAGAAGACTTCAGAAATCTAGCGAATATCTCTATTTTGCAGATAGGAACATGATTCTTGCACTCATTCAGAGTTCAGTCAGCCCTATACAAGTCCTTTCCACCACCCTCACGGTTGGTACTTGACAGAGATGCATATCTGCGTCACCTGGGGAAGGTTTTCAAAATACACTTAGCCAGTCTCCATTCAAGATCTATAGAAAGAAGAGGAATGATAATATATGTATTTTGAAAAATCTTCCCAAGTGGTTTTGATACATCCCTTGTTTGAGAAGCACTACAGATTTTTCAGCTTCAAAATAGAGAAGCCCCCTGCATATGCCAGAGTGTAACAAATCTGGAAAATAGTACCTTTGGAACATTAAGACTGCCATTGGAGACTGAACAAGTATCTCGTTTAGTTGCATTCTAGTATTTAACTAGTTAAATCCATTTATGTCAGCTAGGAGACTGGTAATCCAACATGGTAATCAGTTTAAGATGTTGCCCACGTGAAAACAGAACTACTAAAAGAAATAGTTTTAAAATACTGTTTTAGGAAATAGTATGATATTATAAATTCCACAAGAACAAGCTCATTATAAATATGAAGTTCTTAGAATTATATTAGCTTTCCCTAGGAGATTGTTTTCAGGATTTCTGGAACAACTAATTACTGGTTTGTATTGAACTCTTTTCTAATATAATAATGCATTTGATGAATTAAGGAAATATTTTCTGCTGAGTAAAACTGATAGCAAAATTAAGTTTTCAAATGTTCATTTTGAGGATTCTGATTTTCTTTCTCCTTGCGGTGCTGTGTTACAGAAATGGAACATCGATCAGTTAAAAAGGCTGGCATTGAGGTCCAGGAAATCAAAGGTTGGTCAAATTCTTCTTATGACTGTGAAACCAAAGGTTGTTTGTGTTAGATTTTCTTATGGCTCTTGATTGCAACTTAAAAAATTATCAGGTTAAAAATATAATCTAGTAAACTATCCACGAATTCTGCCATGTACTGAACCTTTAAACCTGCATGTTGCCACTGCTTTTTCTGATAAATGGAGTAATTATAATGAACTCAAATCACTGATTTCAAAATACGCTTGGCCAACCCCCGTTCAAGATCTATAGAAAAAGAGGAACGATAATATGTGTATTTTGAAAAGTCTTCCCAAGTGATTTTGATACATCTCTTAATTGAGGAGCACTGCAAATTTTTTAGCTTCAAAATAGAGAAGCCCCCCTGCATATACCAGAGTGTAATAAATCTGGAAAACAGTACCTCTGGAACATTAAGACTGTCACTGGAGACTGAAAAGTGTCTCATTTATTTGCATTCTAGTACTTAACTAGTTAAATCTATTTATGTCAGCTAGGAGACTGGTAATCCAACATGGAAAGTGGTTGAGGATGTAAGAAATCTAAAACCAGTGAGCCAGAGATACTGAGAGACGAAAAAAAGTCAATTACTTTTGGAAGTACATTAACCTCAAGGAAGCAGAAAAGTACTATTCAGCATACTGGATAAGGCCTTTTCTTAGTGGGTTCTGATATATAAGAGTGAAAAATATTTTTGGTGAGTTAATGCTATAGGGATGTGGAAAAATCTAAGCTGTTCCCTTAGCTCCTATCTTAGTGCCATTTAGCCCCCAAGATTTACTGAGGGCCTTCTATGTGAAGGCACTATAGCAAGTCTAAGGGAAATGAAACTGAGCCTGACCTCGAGAGACTTACAAGGGGATGGGAAAAGAGAGACACAGAAAGAGAATGCATATATATATATATACACACACACACACACACACACACACACAAATACATATATCATTGGTATATGATATCTGGAATAGGGAAATGGGATTTAGCTACTATTAAGCAACTGCTGGGTTCATTTGGAATCCCTGTTCAAATTATTTTCTCCCTTTCCTAGGATCAGTTTATATTTGTACATTTTCTACTATCTGCAGTGTTTTGACATGTCATTTATAGTTATGAACTCACTATGGGCTTCTTGTGAGGTGCTTCTAATATTTAAGTAACAAAGTAATTCCATTATTAGTTGCTTTACAAATGATTCACCTAGATATTCACACTTCACCCAAGACTGACTTGTCTTCCTTTCTCGTGAAAGCAGGTGGAAAAGAGATGAAAAGAAACAAGAACCAAGAGGGAGTTTAGGGATTTTATGTAGACAGATAAGAAAATGTAGCCGGCTCAAGGGATAAGATAATGTTAAAAAATAAATAGCAATTGTTTGGCATTTGTAGAAATTCTACCCAAGCGACGCTACTGAGTGGCATTCATAGCACACCCATATTCTGAAGAAGATTCCTGATGCCCTAATTTTCTATCATTGCTATCTATAGAATTATTGATAAGTTCTGTTTGTCCTGGAATGAAGATGTTGGGAAAGATATTGTTAATAATAGCTGTCATTTACAGAGCACAAACAATGGACTATACTAAAATCATCAAATTTAGTCCTTACACCAACCATGTTTTAATTGCTATTATTTCCGTTTTATGCATGAGGAAATTGAGGATCATAATTACTATTAGGATAGTAAATGTTAGAGCCAGGTTTTAAACCAAAGTCTGTTGGGTGCCAAAGCCTGTGTTCTTAACCGCTATTACTATACTGCTGAGGAGAAATTGATACCACCAATTCGTTCACTGTAAATTCTTTTAAGAACTGTAGATTGGGAGTGGTTATAGTTTACTCTGAAACCTCTAGAATTTCAAAATGGTCTCAAATCATTTCTGTTTACATACATCCCACCAAAAAGTTCTGTATCGTACAGGTTGGCCTGTTGGGAACAACCCAGCCATATTGACCTAATCTTGGCTGGCCAAGATGAATAATGCTTTCCTGTAGGCCTGGTCCTCTCTCCTCAGTGTACACCCCTGCATCCATTTGGTCGAAAATCTCCTAACCTTGTAGCCAAACCCAGCAGTTCAAATAGTAAATTTTACCAAAGTGTCTTGCCACGACAGTCCTGTTTTAACACTTACCCAAACTTGAAATGACATTGTCTATTCTTCTTTGAAAGCTTATAGCTCTCATTAAACCTTTTTTAAAGATTATGTTTTTATTACAAAAGGAACATAAATCATGCTGCATCTCTAGATCTTATCTTTTATCAAAATCTCGAAGCTTAATTCAAACTACGCTTCACAAAAGAGAGGGGTAAACACCATGCCAGATTTAACAGCCCTGTGGTTACAGGTTAATTTTAAATCTCCAAATTTGAATCACCTTTGATGACACTTATTCTCACTCTGAATGGTCATACAACAGTAGTAACAGGGTTCTAGAATGAGTGTCTGAAGGGAGATGCAAGAATAAGAGGATTTGGGATGATAAAATACTTAGGAAAGGGGCTTAAATTTTCAAATAAAGTTACTAGGGATAAAACAGATGTGCCAATATCCCACCAAGAGCACAGCCCACACATTCCCCTACCCCCAATAAAAGATGATGATAGTGAATCAGTCTCAAGAAAATTAAAAACAACAACAACAACAAAAAAAAAAAAGAGTACTCTCTGGTGCTTTATGCACTTCCCTTGTCTTGTAACTTGTTACCCGCTACCATGCCATAGAAAGCCTTCAGTTATGTCTGTGATGAACTGGGTAACAATTGTTATGTTGCTATATTAAGAATGTCCTTCCTTTCTTGTCCTGTTATTCCAATTCCCAGTGGTCTCTGGCCTTCTACCCTTCTGTCAGGGGAGAGAGATGTGCACATCCTTATATGTGTGCACTCACACACGAAGGCAGCTAGCCTCTCTTCCTAAATACATTGCATTAAAGAAGAAGAAAAAAATACCTCTTATATATCAGCTTTTCGAAACTATGTTTATTCCCAAATATCTATAGAGAGGATACAAGGGCTTGCACTGTTGTAGGATTTTAAGACATGTTTGTTCTAGATAGACTACATCTGACATTTAATAGGAGAGAAAAGTGTCATACTAGGTACCTCCTGTCTTCCAGAAGCCTCAGGTTCTGGCTAATCTTAGAGCTTCTTCACTCTTCATTCATCACAGATACTCCAAATTACTGGGGTTTTTTATAAAAGAATTCAGGATAAACAGTAAAAGTGGGCTGGGCGTGGTGGCTCACGCCTGTAACCCTAGCACTCTGGGAGGCCAAGGTGGGAGGATCGCTCAAGGTCAGGAGTTCAAGACCAGCCTCAGCAAGAGTGAGACCCTGTCTCTATTAAAAAGAGAAAGAAATTAGCTGGACAACTAAAAATATATAGAAAAAATTAGCTGGATATAGTGGTGCATGCCTGTAGCCCCAGCTACTCGGGAGGCTGAGGCAGAAGGATTGCTTAAGCCCAGGAGTTCGAGGTTGCCGTGAGCTAGCCTGACAACACCACGGCACTCTAGCCCAGGCAACAGAGCAAGACTGTGTCTCAAAAAAAAAAAAGAGTAAAAGTGGAAGAATTTGCATTATTCTTTTTGCTTTGAGTGGAATTCTTGGACTCTTAAGTGATAAATGTTGTGTTAGGCATTTTATTCCACCTATAAAGGCTCCTGAGAAGAGTCGCAATATTGGATGTTTTTTTTTTAAGACTGGAAATTTTCAAAATTTTAGCCTCTTTTTCAAAAATATAGAGCATCTTTTAAATCTTAAACATATTTCAGCTGGTTCCAAAAATTAGGATGTTCAAGTATTTTTAGTAGATGACACTCAAAATACCAGAAGTGGTATGGAAATCAGGAATTTCTAAAGTGCTGTGTGTATATCTTAGTAAGATCATTGTCTCATTTTCATCACACATTCTATGAATGCTAAACTGATTTAGTCTATCACCCATATCATCCACAGTTCTTTTTTTCCATTGAATGGAGCTCAATCCTTGCTCTGTCTTATCAAAGAAACTAGATATGAGCTGGTACAGCCATTGTATTAGGTGCAAATAAATTCACTAAATGACAGGTAGAAATGCTAGCTAATTACCCTGGTTATATCTGCCTTCAAACAGGAATACACCCTTCTACCAAAGGCAACAAGTTCTTGAATACCAAGTTACATCTTTGGTCTATGTTTTTTAATCCCATAATCTATTCATTGTTATTTTCCTGTTTAAAAATAGAATGAGCTCAAATATAGAGCAATTTTGTATATCTTTTCTGCAGTAACAAAGAATCACACTTATATTCCTCTTGAAACTGGGACTTACGTTAAATTTGAACCATCTAAGTCTATGAACCAATCCCTTTCCTTCCCTCCCTTTCAAGTTTCAAGAGCCACTTGAGTGGACAAAAGAAGAAAAAGGACAGTCTCTCCTTGATGATAGTATAGGGAAGGAAACAAGGGCTATGAGGCCATCTGCAAAATGGTAATAATAATAGCCTACTCATAGGTTCGGTGTGATGATTAAAGGAGAACAATGCCTGACGTAGTGATAGTGTAAGTACTTAATAGATGTAATTGAGTCAATGAAGGAGATTGGCTGAGAACATTGAAGCAAAAAGCTAGAACCTGCCAATTGTTTGTCTTATAAATTATGTTTACAGTGTCTTAAGTAATTTGGGAAACACTTCCTTGGAGGAGTGTCCTGCAAGCTACTAAACTGATTGTACAAATATTCAGCATTAACCAGAGATTTTCCTGATTGTGTTAAGCTACCTATCCCTACCATTTTGTCAAAATCTCCCTCAGGCCTCACGATGCACTTTGTATTGTAGGGCAGGAGGGCACATCAAGAAATTAAAATTCCAAAAACCTTGTGAGTCTTTTGGCAAATGTGGTTGTAACTTTTAGCCTGGGCAAATTCTTATCAGCCTTTGCACACTAGGGTTTCTGTACAAACACACGTATGTGCTTCTTGGGGACAAGAATGTCTCAAGGCTCAACCTTATTTTCAAGTTATTAGTTATTAGATCCCTGCAGCAGCTTATATAGTTTTATTGCATCGATTTCCCAAACAATACTTTAGGCCTGATACCTCCCCAGTACCTGCCAATGCCGCTGAATAGTTGCACAAGTTATTTTCATCACTAATGGAAGAATATTCAGTACATCTGTGTGCACGTACATTTTGTTGAGAACCATATAAAAGGACCTGAAAAGAGCACAGTTCATTTTTTCCTTTTGTAATTCTAGAATTACCTGTGCAACTATGCATGTGAAGTACCAAAAATTCATTGAACATGAAAAAGATTTATAAACTAAAGATACAAGGAAATGAATACTATTAAGCACCTTCTTTATGACATACATTTATATCCAACAGTTTTATGAAGGAAGTATTATTATCACAGTTTGACAGATGAGGTTACTAAGCCCCAGAAAATTTAAGTAACTTGCCCAAAGTTATATAGCTAGTATATAGAAGAATTGGGATTTGAGCCAAAGTTTGTTTGACTCAAATATACACACCAGTTCTTTCCCCTCCACAACACTGCCTGTTCATGTTAACTTTAGAAAAACACAAAAGAAGGATATATATTTTGTGGAATTATAGCTAAAGAGGGTATTAAAGGTAAACCCACGGAAAACCAATTTGAAGGTGAAAAATCATTCAGTGGAAACAACTAATCACAATACCTGCTGCCAGTTCAGTCGATTCAGATATTGAATCATGAAATCAAGGTGCATTGGACTTAAAAAGTTCTTTGTGAACAGTGTTGATTTGACTGGGTAGGGGTGGGTGAGAGGGTTTTGGGATTTTTGAGTCAGTTGAATATTGTGAATTCTTCTTTCCCCGAAGAAGCCGAGGCAGTTGTTGAAACCAAAATGGAGAACAAACCCACCTCCTCAGAATTGCAGAAGATGCAAGAGAAACAGAAACTGATCAAAGAGCCGGGCTTGGGAGTGCCCATTGTTCTCATTACAACCCTTCTGGTTATTCCGGTGGTTGTCCTGCTGGCCATTGCCATATTTATTCGGTGGAAAAAATCAAGGGCCTTTGGAGGCAAGTAAAATGAGCCCCTTGAACTTAGAACGTGCCTTTGAAAGAGTGTTTGGCCATACTATCCTCAAGAGTTTGGTTGTGATTTTTTTTCACTGTCTTTGTTTTTTTAAATGCTCTCTACCTTTTTTGACGTTATTGTCTATGTTCCAAATATTGTCTGTAGTACCACAGTAAAAAATATACCTGGAGCCTCTAGAATTTGGATAGATTAAAATATAACCTTTAATATTGCCTTTTAGGAATTACTGTAAGTGTATTTAATGTCTCTATATGAAACTATGTAGATAACAGAGTCGGTATAAATTAGCTGAAGGGTCAGGGAGGAGAAGGACATTTCTGCTGTTAGTAATAGGCCCAGTCCTCAAAGTACCTAGGTCAGTTATTTGGGGTTGTATTTTTCTCCCCATCAGACTGGCTCTAGCTCCTAGCTACATGACTATGGGCAAGTTACTTAATCGCTCTAAAGCACCGTTTCCTCATCAACAAAGTGGGGCAAATATTTACCTTGCAAGACTGTGCCAAGATTAAACAAAATAATACACATAAAGCATTTATCACAGTACCTGGCACCTAGTAAGCACTCAATTAAGGCCACCAATGATTCTAATGAATAATCACTGGTAACAAAGTAATAAAAGGCATAAGAAGTCATAAAAGATGCTTGTCTTAAACCTCAGCTTTCTCAGGAAACCAGCTATTTCTATAGGAAACCATTTGGTAGTTTCTGAGTAGACATAATTTAGGCCATCGGCCTTCCATAACTGAACAAGACAGTGTCCAGTACTGGAGTCAGTATTTTATAAAACCATTATCACAGTATAGGATCCAAGAGCTGAGTTCCTTTCAGGCCATCCGAATAAAAAAATAACCCAACCCATTATTCCCACCTCTCAGTACCAGTCCTTTGGCTGGGTCCCCAGGTCCTAAGGCAAGAATCTACAGCTGTGTCTGGGAAGAAATCCATGGACCAGGGAGGGAGGCAGCATTTGATCAAGAAACAGCATCTGATCCTATTTCAGATCAAAGCGGCCATGGCAGGGATTCAGTGCCCGTGGCAAAGCCCTGACACAGAAAAAGGCGTAGAAACAGAAAACAGAGAATTCAGTTTAATAAGTTTTTCCTGGACTTTCTTTTGCTTTTCATCTGCAATCAATAGATCTCTGCAAAAATACAGTTAACTCTTCTCAAAAAGGACTCCTATTGAGCCCGTTAGGATCCGAAACTGTCATAAGCAGGGACAAAGAGAAATAAACATAGTTGTCTTCATGGAGTTAGAAGCTTCCGAAGAACAAGAATCTTGTGTGTCTTATTTACTGATGTATTGATGTGTCCCCAACACAAATAACAGTTCCCAACACTAGGGGTTCAATAAATAGTTGTTGAAAGAATGAATGAATAAATAAATAGATCTCACTGGACAGATGACATATAAAAGAGGTGACACATAAAAGTTATAGGGAAGGGTGGTAAGCGTAGTGATAAATACTGAGAGTATCAGGAACAGCGAGGCCTGGGGGCAGGTGGCAGGAATCGTGGTAAACCAGCACAGTCTGGCAGAGGAAGTGGCTAGGGAGTCAAGGTTTGGTCCCTCCTTTTGCTATTATTAAGCACATGTGACACGGCACTGTTACATAATGCTGATTTTACAGGAATATTCTGTGAAGGCAGAGAGCTGGGTTGAACCTGGGTTGAAACTGCCATTACTCAACCATGTTTTACTTAGCAAAATTGCACTTTTATATGGTTCAGTCCATACATTTAATTCTAAAAGTAGATCAGCCTCTTGCCTTTTTTCAACATTTGTTCTTGATAGATCTTATCCAATCTATACTAAGGTTTTTAGAAACCCTCGTAAAGGACCTTCCTTTTCAACACACCCTTATTACATGTCCACTCCACATCAGACGCTGTGCTAGGCACAGGGCATACAAAACTAAGGAATGTCCTGCGTCCTTGTGGAATTTACAATCTGATTTGTTGGCTTTCTAACAATCTTAGCAGATTCTTCTTCCTTTCTTGCCTAGCCACTGTCTTCTGCCTCTTGCCTTTTTCTGTGATGCTCCTGGTTAGAGACTTAATAGAAGAACCCAAGGCTGAGTTAGGAGTTCTCCTATAGTCTGACCATAGCCCTCGAGAGAGTGGGGGAAGCAAGGGAGGAGAGTGCAGGGAGACACACAGCAAGGGGAAAGATGAAATCCACTGGAAGTTCTGCCTCTGCATAAAGGAAGGGACTGTTGATCCTTCATGGAGATGGGCAGTTCCATGGGGGCATTTGAGTCACCTTGTGTGCTTGGATGATCCTGAGGGTTTCAGGTCCTTTTCCTTCACTTAAGTCCTACATAAAGGAGAAATTATGTACATGGATCCAAAGCGTTCTCAAGCAGAACATGTACTGTTCTTAATAGAAAGAGTAAAGTCTAAGACAAATATCCCTAAATTGTAATAGCCAAAGCTTCCATATTTTTACAAGTTATTGGTAACAATTCTATCCTAGTACAAATAATTACTATTATTGTGCATTTACTGTGTATGTATCAGGTAGTGTTCTAAACATGTCACACGCGGTGTCCCATCTCAACCTTACCGATAGGTAGGGATTGTCCTTGATCTGTCTTTTCTCAGAGGAGAAAGCTGAAGCTCAGGGAAGTCATTTATCAAGACAGCACAGCCTGCAGGAGATACAGGCAGGAGTCAAGCCCAGCTCAGGCCCTTATGTACATGTCAATATCATGTTGCCTTTTTTTTTTTTCTTAGAATTGCATATAGACAAGAGCCAGGCCTTTTTAATCATATATGAGTTCCAGATTTTGTGTTGGAGGTTGAGCCCATAGATTGAGGAGGGTGATTGGGACTCATTTTGAAATGTGCCATCTTTTTTTTTTTTTCTTTTTTTTTTTAGCAGATTCTGAACACAAACTGGAAGCAAGTTCAGGAAGAGTACTGGGAAGATTTAGAGGTATGCCTATGTCCTTTTAGAACACTTCACGTTTGGTTTGAAGTCAACAAGCTCTTGTCCTTTAAGGAGCAAGGAGATATTTCATATTTTGTCTCTGAAAATGAAATGCCTTGCATGCAGCATAGCATCCCCCAGTGTAAATGCTGAATGCAAACCACAGACTCAACTAAAGTGTATCTCTAGCAGCAAATTTCCCGGTTTTATTTTTTTCTACCATTGCCATTCTGTACTATCTAATTCTCTTTCCCTGCCTTTTATCTGGCCTCATTTGTCTTCAGTAAATTTTCTGTCACTCCTGTCAGCATGCCAATGCTTGTCATAGTGAAGATGACCTTTTCAAAAAGGTCATTGAAATGAAGAGCTGCTCGAGGGATGCCGGCTCTGGAGAGACAGCTGGGAAGAGGAGGAGAGGAAATGGGCATCTGAAATATTTCTGCAGAAACATAAAGCTGGGGAGGATCTGTGGAGTTGTTAGCTCTCCAGCTCTGTAGGATTGGTCTCTGTCACTTTTTTTTAGCATCTGCCCTTTCCCATCCCCAACTTCGGAATTCGTTGACCACTTAAGAATTTACAAAAGGATTGAGAATCATCTCAATTCTATGTTATTGTTTGCTTTCTTCAGGAAAGGGAAGTGGAGGCCTAAACCTTGGAAATTTCTTTGCGAGCCGTAAGGGCTACAGTCGAAAGGGGTTCGACCGCCTCAGCACGGAGGGGAGTGACCACGAGAAAGACGAGGATGACGGAAGTGAATCGGAAGAGGAATATTCAGCACCTCTGCCTGCACCTGCACCTTCCTCCTCCTGAAAACTAGGCTTTGCTTTAGATTGAGTGAGATTTACCAGGAATGCCAGACTCCTTTCCCTTTAGCACGTTTAAAGTTCTGAGTATTTAATTGTAAACTTTACTGGTCTATGTGGGACTGTACACGTTTTATTTACCTTGTTTGGATTAAGTTGGCTTCTGTTTCTAGTTGAGGAGTTTCCTAAAAGTTCCTGAGAGTGCCATTGTCTTTATATGAACATAGAATAGAGAAACAGTCCTCTTCTTCCATCCTAGTACTAATCTAACTATGGAAGGTTTGCTCATTTACACTTTTGAGACTTTTCGTGGATGTAAATAACCCCATTCTCTGCTCGAACACAGTATTCTCCCGATAGCACTTTCATTGCCAGTGTCTTTCTTTGGTGCCTTTCCTGTTCAGCATTCTCAGCCTGTGGCAGTAAAGAGAAACTTTGTGCTGCGTGACAACAAAGCTGCTAAATCTCCTTCTATTTTTTTAAAATCACTAACATTATATTGCAATGAGGGAAAGAAAAAAGTCTCTATTTAAATTCTTTTTTAAATTTTCTTCTTCAGTTGATGTGTTTCTGGGATGTCTTATTTTTAGATGGTTACACTGTTAGAACACTATTTTCAGAATCTGAATGTAATTTGTGTAATAAAGTGTTTTCAGAGCATTAGCTGTCAGAGTGTATATTGCGATTTTTGCATATTTTCAGGTTTTGTATACAACTTTTGTAATAATTACACAAATCACAAATATTAGTGAAACAATGTCTTCAACCAAAAGAAATATGTTATATTGTACAAAATTTAGAAGATATTTTGTTATGTAGCCAATATAAATTTAAAAACAGCCTGAATTTACATACATTTGTAAAGTCAGGCTCTCTTTTAAAATTCACAGAGGGTTTTTGCCTGTACATCAATCAGAGGGTGAATACTTTAATAAAAGGTGATCACAGCTAAGAGGAAACCTGTGTCTCAAATTTCAAATTGCATATGTAAATGAGTCCATCAGTGCAGATTACTAACAGTTTTCCCTTTAAAGAATAATTTCACCCGAATTCCCGTGTATCATATTCATCTCATACAGTGACTGCAAATTACTTTAAAAACATCTTTTTCATAATCCATCAATGCAATTTAGTAAGACCTGCTAATTTTTCATTTTTAAATGATGGGACTGTAGAACGCTTTCTTCAGAATGCCTACTTGCATTTCAGGCATCTTAGTAGTTGGAATAATAGAGATAAAATTGACTAATCGTGAAAACAATGCAGGCTACTTTGCAAAAAAAGTTATATTAGAATGTTTTCCAGCTATGTTATTTTTTAAAATCTAACTTTAGGTAGATTTTTTTTCTCCTCATAATTGATACCAAAGAAAATCTGATTGAAAGATTTTGTCACTTCCTATATATTTTCGTCATCTTCATATTAAAGCTGAATTTGAGCATCCTCCACATCTAGAAACTTCACGTTTTTTTGATCCCTGTGTACTTTTTTCTCAAATGAAGAATACATTTTTCCTCCCTCTGACCATTCCTTCATGCTGCTTTCACCACATCATGGTAAATATAGAGTCATAACACTATTCTGATATGTGTGTGTGTGTGTGTGTGTGTTCCCTGTATCTTTTATATTTTCCTTTCAACATAAAAATTAGTCCAGTGCCCAGGACACATGTTTTACAGGTTGTCTTTGATGCTATTCAAGTTTTCTTACACTGAGTAAATGGGTTGACTTGCACCAAAGCCATCTTTGTGGTGCAATATTTGATCATTGGCTCTATTAGCTACATTATTTTAATGTTATGTACACCTAATCTTGTTCCTGAACAGTTTTACAATGGCTTAATTGAGGCAAAAAAATAGTTCAAAGTGATAAGTTATAAGGGGGCAAGGAAGAAAAATGGAAAACAAATATAAAAATGGAAAAATTGATACAGAAATAATTTCTATTACACCTGCTTGTGGAGAATAAATTTGGCTCCAAACTTTCTGGCAGCTCATTAAATAATACCTGATTAGTTACATAATTCATGAATCCATTAAACATTTAGTATTCCTAATAATAAGACTCGAAAAATTTGCTACCAAGTGTCTTCTGAAAGATAGCACCATGTCATGTAATTAAAGTCTTCAATAATATCCATAGAGTAGACAAGTACATTGTGTAGGTCTGTTCCTGCATATATCCCTCAATATAAGCACATGGGAATATAAAAAGGAAATATAATAAATTTGGAAACAGAAAGTCTGCTAGGGCATTACAATTGTGTCCTAGCACCTTTATTCTACTAATCTGGCTTAATTAAAGATGGTAGACTAGAAAGGAATGAACAACATTGACTTCAGGCAGTCTTTCCACTGATTATTATTGGTCTTGCCTGAACTTCATTTATTGAGTCAATTAGAGATTACACTCACTGGGAAATGCCCTAAAGGAGTGGGTCCCAGCCCTAACTACAATAGAATTACCTGGGGAATTAAAAAAAAATTGTTGGGCAATCCAGAGATCCTGGTTTAGTGGCTATCAGAGGGATACGGATGTAGACCAGGTAATTCTAATGTGCAGCCAGAGTTAAAAACCATTGTCTCTGAGAATGGCTGTTCTACCTTGCCAATTACTATATGTGGGTAGCTATATTTTCACATAAATTATATTTACAGATGTTTAGAGAGGGAAGATGGGAACTGAGGTGTTCTGATATGATTGTTAGTACCAAGATCTGAATGCCTTAATTGTTCGATGTGTCAAATTGGATAACTAAAATAGGTGTAATTGACTTATTAAAAAAGCAAAGGGAAACAGCTGCGCTTTTTTTCTATTACAATATCCAGAGAATATAATTTGGAGAAGTTAAAAGAATAGCTTTGTCACTCATTAAGTTGGCCCTGAAGTATCATGTGCATAAAGTCTTTTGTTGTGAGCTTTCTTCCTTAGTTTATTAAATCAGCATACTCTTTTCAAAATTGCCACGTATCTTTAAACTCTCACCCAGATGTTATATAAATTGAGTATTTAAGAAGCTGAATGACAATGGAAGACATAGACTTTGTATTAGGGCTTATTCTCCAGCCTGTCATCTATACAGTAGTTCAAAGTTGATATAGGTCAAAGTTGATGTGGCCTATAGCAATCCTTCTCAAACGTCAGTGTGGATAATAATCAATTGCAAGTGCTTATTTTAAGAGTACTGACTTGGTTCCATTCCCAGAGTTTCTGATTCACTACATTGGGTGAAGCCCAGAGATCCTCATTGTCAAAGAAGGATTCCTGATGATTTGGATCCAGGTGTTTCATGGTTCATCTTCAAGAAACCTAATCCTACAGAGAGTAGCTGAGCCTTAAAACATTGTTAGGCACACAAAGGCATATTCTCAAAGACATGGTCTCTATAGAGTGATAGTTACACCCAAAAGTCATTGACCCTATCTCCTCAAACTCAGATCACAAAAAAAAACAGGATGCAAATTATCTTCAGGGCCCAAACTTATCAGCAGTTTCTCCCTGACACTGATTATCCCACCAGGGGAAACAGCTGAGATGCATGGAAAGGCCACTAGTGGCCTCCCTAAAACCTCCTTTTAAAAAGCAGCAAATTAAATACAAGTAATATCTTCAGCAGGCCACTAGGTTAGACTTATTATTTTTTTATTTTTGAATCACATCTAAAGGCAAGCAAACCTATTTGTTGTGTTTTTACAGCATCATGATTTAGTTAAGAGAGCTTTCGTTCTAGAGAATATGTTGATGATGTAACTCTTCCTCATAGCCTCAAAATTTTTGAAACACCAAAGCACAAAGATATCAATCATATATGGAAAACACAGAACATGTATTTCCTGTGCTCCAAAATTAAGTACACACTGTACCATCATAGAGAAAGGATTTACCAAAGAAGACCTGATAAATAAATGCTCATGTTCAGGCATATCAAGATATAATAGACAGGAGCTCATAAAAACAAATATGAATGCATTTCTGAACAAAAATGTATATTATCATACAAACTCTCTTAAAATGAATAAAGCAGTCATTTCAAATGCTTTTTATTTGCTCTATTTTATTAATACTATATAAATCTCCACGCCTTTTAAAAAAATATTGTCTGGAAAACTGAAGGGTAAGTTGTATCCTTTTTAATCCTAGTTCTAGCCTCATACTCCTTTGCCTAATACTTTTTCCTTCTCAGCAGGAGATTTTTTATCATAAAAACTCCCTGTAGTTGTGATTCTCTGCTTTGCCTATTTGGTAATTAATTTGTTCTCTGTAATAGGAAGAGATTGTCAAGCATGCATGTGGATGGAACAATACAGTTGCGCTGGTGTTTGCAACTCACTTGTCAATAAGGAGACAGTGCTGCTATTCAGTAGTGTGGCCCAGTCTTAGCTAATATTGAGTTTGAAAAGAACACTGGGTTAGGGTCAGAAAAATTTGAATTCTAAGTTCTAGATTTGATTATTTTATACACCATTGTCTTAGGCTTCTTTAGTATTAATAATAAATTATAACTCAATTCAAACAGGTTTAAGAACAATTCTTTTTACTAAGAATTTATAACAATATAATAAACAATGATAAAAATGATCATCACGAATTAATTTATCAATAAAAAGTGTTCTTGTTTGATTCACATAACTGAAAGGCTCAGGCATGGCCCCAGCCAGAGACTCTGATGTTGCAAATAGTATTCTTTCCCCCACCTCCATCCCTCAGTTTGGCTTTCTTCTACATAGAATTTACCACCTACATGCAGACTCTTCACATTTGCAGTAATAAAGGTGGCAGCCAGCAGATTTAAGTTTAGATGCTACCAGCATTCACTCTGAGATACATAGCTTCTCTTTCTATAGCATTCCAACACATTGACTAACTGGCCTGATTTGGTTCACGTGTGCCTTAGAGTTATGTCGCTATAAAGAAATACTGGACATTGGGTAATTTATAAAGAAAAGAGGTTTATTTAGCTCACAGTTCTGCAAACTATACAAGAAGCATGGCACCAGCATATCATTTGGTGAGGGCCTCAGGCTACTTCTAGTCATTGCAGAAGGCAAAAGGGAGCCCACGTGTAGAGATCACCTGGTGGGAGAAGAAGCAAGGGAGAGAGCAGAGAGGTGCCAGGCTATTTTTAACAACTAGCTCTCACAGGAACTAATAGAGTGGAAACTCACTCACCACCGAGAGAGGACATTAATGTATTCATGATGGATCCACCCCCATGACCAAAACACCTCCTAATAGGCCCCACCTCCAACTCTAGGGATCAAATTTCAATATGAGATTTAGTGGCTACAAACCAACCATATCCAAACTACAGTAATGTGCCAACCTCAGAACCTGGGGCCAGGGAAAGTGAGATGCTGGATTAGCCAGGCCTCCATGTAACCACATTGATGATTTAGAAAAGATTAGTTTCTCCAAGAAAATTTGGGATACAATTGCTGGTTGAATTAAGAGTTGATTCTAGGGAAGAAAAAAATAGCAGATATTCACTACTGCTGTATTAAACTTTAATCACTTAACCATACCATTTCTTAGATAAAGGGGTTTACTGAAATAGCTATTTTTGTGATGTTTAAATTATTACATTAAAAAGAGACATCAAGTGATTAAGTCTATACCAACGTATACATGAAGGCAGCCTCAAATTCCCCAAAACAATACTAAAT